TTTTTTTTTTTTTTTTTTTTTGATAGCCTATGCAACTATTTGAAAAGATATTTCGGTAAACTTAAAATACCAGCAGAAAGAATTCAAAACGTTACAATTTTAGCATTGGAAGTAATGGTCCCCAAAGATACTTTTGTAAAATTATTTCCTTTTAATACATTGACTGATGCTTAGCTAATCTTCGTCTGGGTTCAGGTTAAGGTCAATATCCGTGGACAGTCTGAGATAAAAGAAAGCATAGAAAGCCAGCAGTAGTGCCAGGATAGCTGCGAGTACAAGGCCAACTTCCTGGGGAAGAAAAAGAAAGGAGATTTGAAAGTGATGAAAAGAGATTGGTTAATGCTATCAGTTTCATCAGATAAAATAAACATATTCCACAGTGGAGAGTGAATAATTTAAACTTAATAATCACATTCCTTTTGTTGAATACTTTTTGCAGTTAAGTAAAGACACTTACTTGTACTTGACAATTCCCAATACAATGACAAGTACATCAGTAGGTGAGTCATTGGTATTAGTATTTCTAGTTCATTTAGTTTTTTCCTGAGAGTAAAATAAAAATTTATCATTTCACTATATTTTCATAGTTTGGATATTGAAATGTTGGATACAAGAAATGTAATTTGTAGCTATGCAGTTCACTTGTTTTCTATTTGATTATGTTTATTTGTTGCTTCAATGTATTTATTATTAGTAATAGTATTTGGATATGGAATTAAATAATTTATAATTCCTTTTTATTGGGAGGAAACAGTTATTATATCTGGTTTCTAGGTTATATTTCTGCATACATTCTCATTAAATATTGCTTGGTTGAAACTCTTAACTTTTAAATTCTGAATTATATAGTTCATATTGTGGGAAACAAACCAAATACTCTTAGCTCATAAAGCATGATATAGCATGATACAGTAAAATTATCACAAATGTGAAAAGATGGTCCTGAATATTTCACTTGGTGATTTGATAGGGATTATATTAATTATAATCAACTATTTTAAAATAATGGCCAAAAATATACTATGTATATTATGGTAAAAATATTCTCCCAAAAAAGGATATATATGTATATATACACACAAATACACCCACACAAGCACGCAAATATACACACCATCAAGAAAACTTCCTAAAAATTAACATCATTTGGCTAAATAGAAAAGAAAGTAAATAGAATGCCAGTTCAATATCCTACAGGGCCTAACATTCTCTTCTAATTCCCACTGTGTTTCATATTCCTTACCTGGAATTGTTTTACAAAGAAGCCACTTATTTGCATTTACTTAAATATATTTTACATTTCATCAGAATGTGTAATCAGTAATTCAACATATATACCTAATAAACTGTAAAAACATTAAAATAAATCTGGTTTATAATCAACATAGACGTTTGCCTGAATGTTGAAATTACATGTAGATATTTTATACAGACTTTTAGTTTAATAATTACATTTAGATTTCCAAAATATGAAAATATATATTAATAAAAAGCAAGGGGTTGGAAAACTCAGTGTAAGTTAAGATTTCATTTTTTAAATTGAATATATCAATATAATGTCAAATGACAGTGAATTTTTCTTTGTTGCAGTTGGAACACTTTGGCATCTCAAAAGGGCATGGCAGCATCAGACAGGTTTCATTTATTTTCTTATATCCACAGCTGTGCTCCCAGACCCATCTGGTTACACAGCTACTAATTTTAAGAGGATGTAATAAACAAGTGACACACAACTGCAAACTCCATCTGTTCTGTATAGTGGACAACAAAACTGTTCTATAGCAGTCACCCAAGCTTAATGCGAGAATAAACTTTTCAGTCTTGATTGGAGACCATGATTCACATCTTATTGATCGACAACTCTGATTGCTGCTTTTCAACTCCTTCTTGTCCTTAAAACAACTCTGTATCATTTTCACTGTATACTTTCAGAATATCCAGAGACATGAGTTTAAGAAGTTTAAGAAGCGGAAAGTATTCATTGACTAAAACAACTCCAGAGGGCTCATTAATTCATTTATGTCTGTTCAAAGAATTAGGTGGTGAGGAGGTAGGAAATTATTTTCCTCAAAATGTCGCTATCTTGTTGAGGACACAAGCATTGTAGAAGCTGAATGCTTACAGGGTTAAGACAGTGGTAAAATTTGCAAATAATACTTGCAGGATGTTGGGGATACTACCATAACCTTAGAGACTTATGGGCATTTATGACTTCCCTGCCCCCTGGCCATTTTTAGCTTTAAATCAGAAATAACAAAAATGAACAAACAAACTGTTTTAAGCAGCTCAGTCTAAGGGATTGTTGGCAGGATCTGATTGACATTTAAATAATTCTTTTTATGTAGCAAAACTGAATTTTTGGTCCTTATTGTTTTATTATAATTATGCCTGTCAAACCCTTAAAATAAACAAATCAATTGATTAACAACTTAGATCCTTTTCCTTCTAAATAATAGCTAGCATGGGTATTTTTATTCTAAAAAAATTTTAGTGATGCTATAATTCTTTTAATTGGGCAGCAACTAAACAGAAAACTTAGTTGTGCAAATATTTATTAGGAGGCCCTCACTGAATTACTAGGCTACAAATGATAGCATTTTATTTGCATTTTTAAGACATACAGAAGAAAAATAACCTCTAAGTAGAGATTAATTCTAGATCTTAACACAATCCAATCATATCTTATCCTGAAATCAATAACTGCTCATCTAAAACATTTTCTATTACTAAACGTACATTTACAAGAAGCGCTAAGAAGCCTTTGAGGACAAAGACCCTATTGTACAATTCAAATCTTAGCACATGATTTTACAATCAATACTGTTGGCTTGAATGGTAATTAAATCTGAAAGTGATTTCTTGTATAAGTTCTTCCAAGGGAACCTTGTCTTATTCATCATTCTTTCCATAGGTACTACTATAATGTAACACCTCTAACTTCTAAATAAATAATGAGGATTGAGTAATATTTATATGATCTTTATACAGGTGTATTAAAATTATATAATGCTTTTAAAACTTTACAATAGTAATATACCTAATACTATCTCTGCTGCTAAACTGAGAACATTTTGTTATATATAATTACAGTCATACAATACAACTTTAGTTTGTGTAGGGGATCTCAAAGCCCTGACAAATATTCAGGGGAAGTTTTATTTATAAAGACTAGAAATGGTTAATTCAAACACATATTTTCTCAGTCAGTGAGTAATTCATAAATGACTTCTATACACTATGAGGTAAACAGCAAAAGCTCCATTTTACAAATGTGTCAGCTTAGACAGAACTAGATCATGGCAACAGCAAGGGGCAAAAGGATGTAATCCTAGGCCTCTTTATCTTGTGTTCAGTGTTATCACCATCGCTGTTATTTTCTATCCATGCACCTGTTCATATTTTCCATAGATTTAAATTATTTGAAGAGTATAATTATAGTTCATTTGGAAGAATATGTAGCAAAGTGATAAAGTATTACAATATTAGGGTCATTCTGTATCAAGTCGATGAGTCAAACATGTTTGATGATCATTAGTCCTTAGTTGCTTCTCTGACATTATCAATATGGATAAAATCACTCACTAGGGAAATTAAGAAGCATTAAATGGCAATTCCTGAAAGAAACTTCGTTATTTAAAATCCTATGCCAAAATGACAAGGCAATCAAAGTTTGACAGGGCAAACTAATTGGTATGCTAGAATTGAAATGTAAAACACCGCCATGCTTCTGATTCAAAAAAGTTTCATATCATCTTAATAGGCTCCTCATAAAATTTCAAGCAAAATAAATAATATTTAAGGTTAAGATTTTTCTTTTCTGTAGGTTTACAAACCAAGTTAATAAGCTAGCTTATTAGAAAGGGACTATGTTCTGATGTCAGTTCAAAACTCTTCTGTACGCACTTTAAATATGACGTAAAACCTAAGCAGAAGTTTTTCTCATGAAAAGATTAAGCAAAGTGTACATTGTTTTTAAAAAGATATTAGATAATGGCACAATAAATATGCTTATCTCATACTGGCACATAGTTATTTCTATAAATTAAAACAAAAAATTATAAAAAATATTTAAAAGTATGTAAAACACTGTTACAAATAAATGAATGACAACCCTATTTCTCAACTCCTACTATGAAACTGCTCACTGTCTTGTGCTGCAAGTAGATTTTCTTATTCTAATACTTGCCTTAAAAAAAAAATTAAATGAAAAAAACAAAACCACTGCATTATAAATCTAAGTGTCATATTTCTCTGGAAGACAATGACAAACAGTGCTCTCACATCAAGAGACAATCATCAAGTAACTAAATGGAAAATAAAAATCCAAACATTGCTTTCAGAAAAGTCATGTCATCAAAATAGTTTGTGAAGATGAATAAACTTTCATAAGAATATGGAAATTGCTTCAAAAGATGAATCATCTCTCTTTTAAACAGAAAGGCAATTGACTTTTTTTCATTAAAAACTGACACACAGCACTAACTGAGGAGATTGTGTTGTGAAAACACACGGCATCACACGGCAATGCTTGATCAAAATCAGCAATCAGGAGCAAAAAGAAGGCAGTGTCTCGTGATCATAATAGCAAATTCTGGAAGACAACCAAATATATCATCTGGCAGTTCAACAGCTGTTACAGCTTGGTAGTAATACCTTGGCATTTGCTATAAGCTATAACTCAGAGAAATTGATTTTTCATCTGCCAGATAAAAACCAAAATCTCCTTTTAACATCTTAATATTTAAATAAAATATATGTACTGGTCAGTTTTATTTTACACATCCCATAGTAGGGTTGCCAGATTAATTTTTCTATTAATAGTTTAATTCAAGTTTGAACACTTGGCAAAAGACTGACGTGGGAAATAATGTGAATGTAATTTTGTTGAGCTTAATTGTGCTGACACATTGAATTCATTGTCTACTAACATCATTATCAATTGCATTTATCCTTCTTAAGCAGATAAAACACCAACATTCCAAAAGAACAATTTTGGAAGCCTCATTAGAGGTAGTCTCATCATAGAGAGTACTGACAACAATATAATATACAGAGTAAAATTACATGTATTAATTATCTAAGTATATATAATTACAACTATAATTTAATCAACCATAAAATGAAATTTATTGAAAACGAGAAATTTTGACTAAGGCCACATACGTCACTAAAATGTTTAAACAATATACATAGTATCTAGAGAGAAAATAAATTACAACTTGAAGTATAACTGGCTATCTTAAGTGAGATTGTGTTTTATTTTGAAACCTTTCAAAATCTCGTGATAGGAAGGATGGTTTCCAGTAAGTCAATTCTTTACAAAAACCCTTGAGTCTGGCATTATATTTAGATTTTGAAATGTCAGAAAACATTTAGAATACAACATCTATGCAATATAGTTTTAGAAAATAAATTGGCATGCGCATATCAAGTTTTAAAGTTATCAATAGAGGTCTACCTTTATGCCTATGGCTGTTTTCTTTGCTTCTGCTTTTAATTTGGTTGCTCGTAAAATAGGTTTGGTTTTTTTATAATCCTGTTTACCTAGAAAGAAATAGTTTCAGACAATGAGTAATGCTTATATGTAATTCAAGTTTAACAGTCATCTGAAATGTCAAGGAATGTTTAAATAGAGTAAAACAGAGGCACAGAGTTGCAAAGTCCTTCCCAGTGTGGTAAACGCAAACTTACCCACAAACAATCACTCAATGGTCAACTTTTCTTCTTCCCTTACTTTTCCCAGAAGATAATGGCAGACATTTTTATTTGATGCTCAGTGAATATCAAAACAGGTAAAAATTTATGTTCAAGAATAAGAAGTTTAAGCAAATAAATCTTTTGGAAGCATTTGAAAACAAATACATAAATAAGTATTGTGTAAGATCTTATTAACAGATAAAGTCAACTTTGTCTTCACAAGCGTAGAGTAACACCTCATTATAAATTTATTTCAGTATAGATACATTATTCAAAAAAATCAATGAGAAATATCTCCCAGTTTTCACTAGGTAAGAAACTAAAGAACAAATATGTAAACAACTTTCAGTGAACCGAATTTATTATAAAAATATGCATTCAACTTTTTCCCACTTAAGAGAGGACAGAAGAAATATGGCTAGATAAGCAATGTGGGAGAGATACATTTTGATACTAGTTTCAATCATCTCCACTACATTTCAGACCCTCAAATGAGCAGAACTGAATTTCTTTCACATGAATATCATTTGGTAACCCTACCCATGAGTAACAAAAGGAGTATTACACAGCCTGGGCAGAAAATAGACTTAACAGTAACAGCAACAAAAGCCTTCACTAAAATAATATACATTTTTTTAACCAAACTCTTGAAAAAGAATTCAGTCAAATGAGCCTTAAAAATAATAGTATATGTTATTCTGAGTGGGAGTTAACATATGACTGTGTAATCTATCTGATATTATTATTTTGCCTTGTTTTCATCTCATACTATCCAGTTCCTTTCCCAAACTTAATCTTACATTTCTTTTATCTAAATAATACAAATTCTAATTTTAATTTATCCATCTTCCTCACACTGAAATAAGTTAGAAAACAGTTGATGTAAAGTTTATCATAAAAATTTAATGTAGAATATATTTCTTAATGCATTTGTGAATGATTCAAAAGCACCTTTAAAATCGTACATAGATTTTTAGAATTCGAAATTGCAGAGAGAGGTGAGTCCATTACTCCCAAATGGATGGGAGTAATGAGAAAACATTGCATTTGTGTTCATGAGACCCATAAAAGTATTTGTCTGGTTGATGAGCTTTGTATTTTCTTTTTAAAGAAGTGTGTGTTCTTTCCTTAATTGCTATTGTGCAGCAGTAATTCTGTATCCATGAGCATGCAGAAGCTTAATAAATATTATTTGATAATGGGGTTTAATGATCCAGAAATGAGCCAATTGTAAAAATGTATATCAAATGATCTAAATTTGAATCATTTGAATACAGAAAAATATTACTCTGACCCATTTTAAATTAGCAACATTTAATTTTGATGAAAAAAATCTTGACAAGTGTTCACTCTGATTTCACATCTCAATAGTCAAACTATTCATATCATTATTCCTGCTGAGGCATAAACAGCTCAGAACAATGAAAATGGTGACACATCAAATGCCTTCACTGGGGTTATAGACCAAGTTTTTGATGATAATCTAAAAAGACAGTTGAAGATTATGGATTTAAAGCTAAAAAGTAATTTCTTGTTTTATACTGTAAATGCCCTAGATAATGTCTGGGTGCTACGGGGAAACAATGAACACATGAAAAAAGATGATATTAACCCGTGTTTTCATATAAAAATGCAATATTTTAAGTAATGTGTCTGCCAAACAACAGACTCAGATATACCTCTATGAGTCAAAGTTAAAGTACAAATGTATCATTCTACTTCAAGTGCCATATAACTCTGGGTTAGATAATGTATTCAATTTAAATTGCACTCTCATATTCTCTTAAAGAATATTTCTAGATTTATATTAAGTTAATATAAACATTTGAAACTGTATTTATGATAAAAAGATAGTGTTAAAAATTTTTGCACAACTGGTCCTTCTCCAAACGATGCATCTGTCATTAATTTAGTATTCTCCTGCTGACTATCATATCCAGAACTATACTTTGCAAAATGTGGTTTGGGTCTACCAAGTGAAAAATTTACAGGGGCATCTGCTAAGTTCTTTACAATTAATACCAGACCTTTTCACTGTACCCAGAGAGGTTTTCAACATTTGAATTTTATGGACTCGAAAAAGATACCTATGCCCACATGATTGTAAAAAATATAAAATACAGAAGCCCCTGATTTCTGAGTACTTAACCTAAAAATAACAACAACCTTCCCCCCAGAAAACCCAACCCCACATACAAATTTAGATAATCTAGATTTGTAGACTTTTTCTTCAAAACAACTGGGTCTGATTGTGGTTATAACAACATTAAATAACCAAAGTAGCTGTTTGATAGTTGGTCATTAAATCTTATATGGAGAGAAAACTTCATAATTCAAGTCCATGAAGCCAATCCTGAGCCTCAGTCATTTAGTTTCTCTATTCACAGTGACATGATTCATCTAATATTTTTGTATTTTTATTTCCTCTGATATGCTTTAATAAGCAGCTTTTCTCTTCATCTCCATGTTCATGATCGATTGATTTATGCTTTCTCTCTCTAATATAATTCTATAATATTGTATTATTTTCAAATAATAATAGTAAAATTGACTTGCTTTCTTTGGTATACATTTCTATAGATTTTAATGCATGTATAGACTCCTGTGACTACCACCTTATATAATTTGGATACAAAATAGTTCCATTACCCCCTAAACTTCCCATATGCTTTACTTTGTAGTTATCCCTCCTCCCATTCATAATTCCCAATAGCCATTTTTAGAGCTTTGCCCTTTCAATAATGTGGCAACAAAGTCACAACAGTTTATTTCATTCATTGTTAAGACTTTTGAGATTTCTCCAAATTGTATGTATCAGCTCATTCTTCTTTATTGCTGAGTAGTATTCCATTATCTAAAAGTATCAGGGTTTATTTATTAATTCATTCACCCATTAAAGTATATTTGGGTTATTTCCAGTGTCTGGCGAGAATTAGCAGAGCTGTTTGCTAAAAGCACAGGTGTACAGATTTTTGTGTGAATGTAAGTTCACTGCTAAGTCCATCCTGAGTCATGTGATAAATATATGTTTAATTTTGTGAAAAACAACCAAATCGTTTTCCAGAGAAGCTACCTCATTTTTCATTCCCACCAGCAATATATGAGAGTTCTGGTAACTGCATTGTCACTAGAATTTGGTACTGTTTTATCTAGATTATCTCATTTTTTAAAACTAAGTTTCATTCCTCGCACCAGTAATTAGAATTCTTTTTTTCATAGTTAGACTAAAACTTTTTCAGTATGGTTGATCTTTCTAAATTAACAAACTTTTGGTTTTGTTGACTTTTTTCTCATTTTTCTAGTCTCTGTTTTGTTTATTTCTGTCCCAATCTTTATGATTTCTTTTCTTTTACTTGGTTTGGGTTTAGTGTGCTCTTCATTCACTAGTTGATTTGGGAGGAAAGTTAGGTTACTGATTTGAAATCTTTATTTTGTGGTAATAGACTCATTAATAGGTATGAATGTCCACCTAAGTATTGCTTTAGCTACATCTCATAAGTTTTGAAATGTTATGTTTTGTTTTCACTCACCACAAAGTACTTATCTTGTGATTTCTTCTCTGATCTATTGGTTATTTAGAAGTATATTAGAAGTATATTATTTAGTAAACATGTAAGTTTATTATCTAAATTTCCTTATATTAGCAATTTATAATTTTATTCTGTTGTGTTAGAGATTTCAATTCTTTTAAATGTATTGAGAATTGTTTTATGGAATAAAATATGGTTTCTCCTGGATAATATTCCATGTACAGTTGAGATGAATATGTAGTGTGCTGCGGTTGTGTAGAGTGTTGTGCACATCTCCCTAGTTGATAGTGTTGTTCAAGCTTTCTATTTCCCTTTTGATCTTGTGCCTAGTGGTTCTATTACTGAAAAAAAATGAAATATTGAAGTATCTGACTATAATTTTCTGGTTATCTATTTAATTCTGTCAGTATTTTCTTGATATATTTTGAGGCCTCTATTGTTAAGTGTACATACAGTTATATTTGTTATACCTTCCAGGAGAACTGACCCTTTTATCATTATGATATATTCTTTGTTGCTGCAAAAATATTTTGTCTTAATGATTATTTTGTATAATACTATTAATATAGCCACCCCAGTCCTTTGGAGTTCTGTTCTCTTAGTGTATCCTTCCCCACTCTTTTATTTTCATACTATTTGGGTCTTACAACTGAAGTGAGTCTCTTTTCTTTTTCTGCCAATCTCTGCTTTTAAGTAGGGTCTTTAGTCTATTTACATTTAGTGCAGTTAACGATGAAGAAGGATTTATATTTGACATTTATTTGTTTTCTGTATCACGTTATTTTCTTTATCTTATACTGTCTCTTACAAAATATAAAAATACTTAAATAAATATTTTCTAGTATATTGCATTAATTTCCTCCTTCTACATTCTTGAACTATTTTCTTAATGTTATCCTTGGAAATTATAGTTAATACCTTGATTTAAAGGAATCTAGTTCGTATTAATTCCAATTTAAGTTCAATAATACACAAGACATTACTCTCACTTAGGAGGGATCCCTTTTCTCCCCCTGAGGAATGCTATGATTTTATACAAGTTATATATGTAAATATTATTAATCCATCAATAGAGTTTTGTAATTGTTGATTTATGTAGTTATCTTTTAAATCAGGAGAAGAAAAATTATACAAAATTTCACATATACTTCTTTTATATTTACCTATTAGTTACCTTTACTAGTGTTAATTTGTGTGTGTGTGTATTTGTAGATACTGTTTATTGCCTATTGGACTTTCATTTCAACCTGAAGAATTCCTTTTAGTATTTCTTGTAGGGCAAATCTGCTATTGACAAATTATTTCAGTTTTCTTTTT